GATATGTAGCATATCCACGGGGTTGCAACAAGAACTTATCAGATTTAACGTGAAAAACTTCTTCAAAAGATGAAACTCGATTTGAAGGGACGACTGCTTTTCCTCTGGGTGTGTTTCATGCAGCTATACTCTACTGGTAAGGAAGTACGATCGCTTGTAATGTAGATTCTCACCGCTCAGTGTCGACGAAATGCTTAGGAGTACCCTATCTAAGGAAGTTGTCACTCTGAACATGTACTTCCTGAAATGATTGATGGCGGCTGATTATTTGCCCTTCATGTTATAAAACCAACAATTTATGAACGCCACACGATCGAGTGTCAAACTCAGCTTAAGTCGTCGCCCAGTCGATTGTTTTGCGTCGAGTTTGACAATCGAACTGAATCGATCTTGAAATCTTAGATGGCTAAACTCACAGAGTATTTCTTCCGCGCTTGTATTTCTTTCTGAGGAGCCTTCAGCATGCCACGGCAGATTGGGGGGCCTAAAAGGCATTCAGCCATCCTTTGTTAGTTTGGTTGCTCGGGACTACCAAAAAAACAAATACTTAAGAGATCAGATCACACTTACAGACTGTTAATAGGCAAGAAAGTTGAAAAGTCCCAATCACTAAAGTGCTCTTTGTTTCTGAAAACACGGTAATGATGAATACAAATAAGTTCCACAGATTACTTTTAAAGCACCCTTCGTTTCAACAACAAAATAAAGCCTTGTTTGTTTTGAGTATACTCATTTTGTTGCTTCTCAGACATTTCGTAAACTTGTAAAACTTTATCACTCAAGCAGTGCTGGTTTCTAACAACTCCATAAAGACTTTGACTACACAGAAATCATATGGTCAGAACTGAAATGTGTTTGAGCAGCAATTCTAAAAGTATTGTTCATTTCTAACAACCTAATAAAGGGTTGTATGTTTCAAACAACAAATGAAAAGCGTTGTTCATTTGGTATATACTTGTTTTGTACTCACAACCGTTTCATAAGTCTGAGAAACTTTATCTTGGTTCTTAACAAGACCGTGAAGACGTAGACTACACAGAGATTGATCATATGGTCAGAATTGAAACATGTTTGAGTGATTCATGGGCAAAGCTTGTAAGGAATGGATTTTTTTTACCAAAATGCACCAGACTGCTTTTAGAGAGGCTGCCCTTCAGAAGTCTTGTCGTAGTGGGTCCATGAACATTGACTTATGGTATTTGTGTATCAAGGATAATGATAAGAAAGAGAGCTGTGAAGGTTTCTTCATGAAGAGATGAAATGCAAGGAAATGGAACTGCCTCCAACTTTAAAAGCAGTGTTGGGTGGGTACAGAAGTTTATGACCAGAAATGGGTTATGTATACAGTGCAAGACAAATGAATCCCAGTAGGATCCTAAAAAACTCATTAAAAGTAGACTCTCTCAATTGAAAAAAAAAAAGATTGAAACTTTTTGTGGCATTTCTCCTGATTCTAAAGAAATTTCATCATAAAATTGGTAGAGAGAATGTAGTTTTCCTTTGTGTCACTGGAGCATTTCAAATTCTGTACCAGCCACATGCCCTCTCATAAATTGACATGTGACAAAGTAGTATACCTTGAGATTGATTCAATTAAATGTAGGGAGTGCACTAAAACTAACATCTCAAGATTTTGAACTCCAAAAGTTTTAACAGCTTTCATGCCTTGTGTAATGCATTCATACCTAAAAACCAGTAGAGGCAAAAGAGATATACCCAAATGTTTCAGGCAAGGCAGATATAACCAACATAAACAATGTTCATCGAATTAAAGCTATGATAAGGTATTACATAAGGGTTAATTGGCGAGAATTATCCCTAATCAACAGAATGAGAATATGTTTGAGTAAAGACTCAAAAGACAAAACATGTTATTTTCCAACAACAAAGGAAAGTGTTGCCTGTTTCTAACAACAAAATGAAGCCTTGTTTGCTCAGTGTATATTCATTGTACTCACAGACATTTGGTGGACTTGAAAAACATTATCTTGGTTTCTAACAGCACCAAAAAAAAACTTTGACCATACACAAAGAGTAACACACTTCAATTAATATTAATAGGAACACTCTGTAGATGGATAATATTAAATAATTGGATGAACATGACTATCTAAATCTATCCTGACTTTTAGTGATTGCTTTCTTTCTTTCTCATTACTGAGTGAGACAGAAAACAATATGCTGCTTAGGGCAAAGATTCAACTTTTGGTGGGTGTATTTTTTCTAGATGAGTATGGAGGTTTTTCTTTCCTTAATGCTGTTTAATTTTGTAAATAATTGAGTCAGCTTTTTGTGCATTGCAAGGTGAATTTTGGAAAATTTGCATAACATGTTAAGGGGCTGTGTTAAAAGTTTGCCAAAACCACAATATATGTTTATATTTCAATACAGCTCCACCCTGTTTTAGTTACTCTGAATAAAAATATCATGGGGAGAAAGTTGGAATTTTGCACTGAGCCACATTTAAACGTTGCATATTTACAGGCAAAGGAAAAGAAGGTTTTACGCTGAAAAATAATCCTCAGTGTTAAAAAAAAAAAAAAAAACATTGAAAGAGAAAAACCTTTATGATTTATTATCACCAGGGATCAATGTAAGTATGCAAAGCAAAAAAATTACTCAAACAAGAGTTTTGTGAAAAGACATGTGGTGAGATTAAGATTTGATTGAATTATAAGAAAATGCTTTTTTTTCTTTTACTTGCAGAATCATTCACCTGGACTGTGCAACCAGCCAATGTAACATTTGT